TACCGCTCTGTCCTGGATTCTTCTTGTAGTGATGTTTCCGAGCAAACGTTGCTGTCAAACGCTTGCAAGCGGCACAATGTCACCGCAGGTCTCGCCGTGCTCCCACTATCCCCGTGCTCGGGGTGGGATGGAGGGAGGATGGCAGGGATGGAGACGGGGACCCTCGGGCGGAGAGGGGCTGCCGGGGGGACCCGTCTCTGCTGAATTTAGCCTGAGGACGGAGACGGGGCTGGCTGCTCGCCACCTTCATGCCAGGGCTGAGGCTCTCGCGAAGTGTGTGTGATAACACGTGTGTGATGGCACATGCGTGTGATAGCATGGGAGTGTGTGATAACACGTGTGTGAACATGGGTGTGTGATGGCACATGGGTGTGATAACACGTGTGTGATAGCACGTGTGTGTGCGATGGTACATGGGTGTGATAACTTGTGTGAACGTGTGTGCGATTGCACATGGGTGTGATAACATGGGTGTTATAACACGTGTGATGGCACGTGTGTGTGTGCAATGGCACATGCATGTGATAGCACATGTGTGTGCAGCGGTACATACCTGTGATAACACGTGTGCACATGTGTGTGCAATGGCACATATGTGTGATAACATGGGTGTGATAACCCGTGTATGATAGTATATGTGTGTGTAATGGCATGTGTGACAGCACAGGTGTATGCAGCAGCACGTGTGTGTGATAGCACACGTGAACATGTGTGTGCAATGAGCTGGTGTGCAATGGTACGTGTGTGACAGTGATATCTGAGTGTGTGTCTGCAGCTGCACACGTGTGTGAGAACATGTGTGACACCGTGAGCTGGTGTGCATGGCCCTGAGTGTGTGATGGGCTGGTGTGCAACGACACAAGCGTGTGCATCACAGCCTGGTGTGCTCTGCCATGTGCTCGTGTCACGGGCTGGTGTTCCCTGACACACGTGTGTGGCAGCCTGGCAGGCAGCAGTGCACACGTGAGCACACGCATATGTGTGTGTACACGAGGCTGGTGAGCACTTGATCCGCCGCACAACTGTGTGACACACGCATGTGAACACGAGCGTGCACCGGGCTGGCAGGGAAGCACGGGGTGAGCAGGGGGTGTGCAAGGACACGCGTGTGCCCCTCGCACCAGGCGGCTCCTCCACTCTGTAGCCGCTGCATAGACACCAGAGCTGCTGTAGCCCAGCCGGTAGCAGGGACCAACAAAGGGCTGAGCTGGTAAGGCATCTCAGACCTTCTATCTTCAGTGCTCACCCCACACTTAACCTTCCTGTCCATTCATTCGAGATCAGGCCAGAAAAAAATCAGGAGCTGGTGCCATCGGGCTGGTTAAGTGCGGGACAGACGCTCCAGGCAGCTGTTCCAGTGAAGAAGCAAAGGGCTGGGCATCCTTGCAGACGGCATGAGGATCGATGAGTAATTCAGTTAGGCTTGACTGAGTAGGAGATGTGGCCAGTGGAGAAGGGGAAATTTTCCACTCTGTCCTAACTGCTTGGCAGATTCATCAATGGACAAAACTTGTGAGGAAAGGGCCGTGGGTGCCTGGCACATCAGCCCTGCTACGCTGCCCCTGAGGCAGGGGAGGTTGTCACAGGAGGCAGGGGCAGGGCAGCATGTTACTCCCAGTGGAAACAGGCAAAAAATAATAGTCGGGGGGTTAGATTGAGCAAGTGTTCCTAAGATTATAGCTCAGAGGTGGGAGCCCGAGCTTTCTTCCCACGTTGCTAATCACTTATCCAGCACTCTGAGCGTCTGAGCCCTGCCTTTGTGCCTCCAATCTGGAAGGTGGGGGCCCATCCTACCTTTCTCCCCCGGGGACCCAACTGCGTTGTCAGGCTTAATTCATTAACATCTGTGAAGCGTTCCAGCTCCTAGGCTGGAAGGCAGCACAGATTTGCCTCACTCCTGCAATCACTAAGCAGCAACAGGGAGAAATGGGGACTGATTCTGACCCTACTGTGTTGCTACCAGCCCAGCAAAGCACAAGATCAAGCTAGAAGAGGAAGAAAGACGGGAAAGACCTAAGGCTCTGCAAAGCAATCAATCGTATAAAGGTCAAATCCACATCCGAAATATAACGGACAGACTGCAACAGCGTATGAAATCCCAGGGGGGCTGGGCTAAAATCACACTGACTAGGGAAAGGCAATATCTCAAGCGCTAACCAAAATACCACCAGCTCCAGGACATCCCACTTTGCCTCCTTAGTGGAATGGAAAGCTGCCTTAATTTGGCCACAGGACTTTGGGTCCAAGCCTGCAGATGTGGACATCCTCAGGCACAGCATTATACAGGTTCTTGTATCCCCAGCATGCCTCCCTGCCCTGGCAGAGAGGACACCAAAGTTGGGGGAGCTAGGCAGTCCTGCCTAGCCCTGCTTGCAGAGTACAATTCTCCAGGTTTTTCAGAGTCAGAGGAAAGGGTTTCCAGCAGCAGTAGATGCTAAGTGTTGGCGAAGCGTTGCTGCCTTAGCCCCAGCAGCAGTGCCATACAGGGCAGGCAAAGCACTGCCAGTGAGGGGGACGTGGAGCTCAACTGTGAAAGCACAAGCTTTAAAGTGTTTTCATTTCTTCTGCATAAAACTGAGGTTGTTTACATGTATTATCTAGTTGCAGATAAAGTTCTTGCCTGACTCAAACCCCTCTCAGGCATTGTTCTGTGTTTGGTTTGGGATTCCCTGCAGCCAGAGACAAAGAAAGCACCCAGGCTCCCCACATTCCTTCCAGATGCTGTTCCCAGAGTCACCTGTGTGTCTCCTGCAGCAACCTAGGTCCTGCTGTGCTGTCCCCATTTCCCTGGCAGCAAGTGCTGTGGGTGAGAGCCATCCCAAACCCTGCATCTCTGAAGCCTCTGGGGCAGCAGCCTGTGCTGTCTCCCTAGGCAGGCTTGGAAGAGCTCCCAATATCCTTCTTCTGTGCTGTTGGAGCTGCCCAAGACCTGGCCCTGAGCTTTGGGAAACTCCTCTGAAGCCTGCAAGCCCTTCCCCTCCCCTGCTGCCCTTAGGAAATGCATGTGCTCCCGGAGGGCTAAAATTAGCCAGCCAGCTGTGTGGCATGCTTGTACAGGAGTCAGTCCCCAGGCACAGCCCGCCAGGCAGGTCTGCCAAGGAGGCAGCATCCTACCTGGGGTAATGGGACTAGCACAGCCTGCTACAGGGAGGGCCATGGGAGAGCCTTTCCCCATTTCTCTGCCTCCTGAGCCTGCACTGGGACCTAACCACCAACCAGTCAAAAGCAGCGAGCAGAAGGGAGAGGGTATCTTCTCTGGCTGAGCCTGCCAAAGGCTGCCCAGGAGATGTACAACCCTTTAGGTGCCTTTCCTTATCAGAACCCTCCCCAGCACAGGCTGACAGTGCTTTCCCTGTCTCACCCACTTGGAACACCACTCTCCCTTGCACAGGCAAGGGCTCCCCAAAGCAGAGCAGTGCCTCAGGTGAGTAGCTGCAGTCTGCCCCGCATGTGGTTCCTCACACTACCTTTCACTCCCCCTTCCCAGCATGGCTCCCATACAGAGGCGGCTGAAAGGCAGTGGTGGGAAGCACCACAGCTGCAGAGAGAACAGGCCATTTTTAGCAGAGCAGCCTCCCCGCTGTTGGGCTGCAGGCAGAGCTGTGCAGGGCTGTGCTGCAGCACTGCAGCCTCCCCCTGCTGCCTTACACCTAGTGAAGGACTTGGCCTCTACACATGACAAAAAGCCTGTAGCTTCATGGCACTTGCCCACTGCCCTATTTTCCACTGGCTAGGATCTAATGGGATAATTTGATCTCATGTGTTTAACCTGCCAGTACTTTTGGGGGTGAAATTTAACAGGGAAGTGGCAGTGCCTGAAGTGGGGGTACCCACCCGAAGGGCACTGGGGGCTGCAAAGGGGGCATGCCAAGGGGCCTGCAGAGCATGGATGCTCCAGAGCACAGCAGCACTGGAGGGAAGGGGCTCAGGGTCCTCATTTTGGATGTTTGTATTCCATTTTGGGTGCTTAAAGCCTTTTTTGGAGCTGGGTTTAAAATTAGAGGATAATTTTTCCTGAGTAACTCCTTTGACTGTCGAAGCGTGGGCTGAGAGGGAGGACAGCCCTATTGAGAGCTGCTGGTAACCCCTTAATGATGGGGTGAGAGATGCAACCAGGAATAGACCTACTGAGGCTGAAAAGGGAGCTCAGATTTTCACCCTTCATTGCTTTTTTTCATTGGCCATCTCCTGTCATGACTCCAGCACCCTGTAGGAACCCACCTTACACATCATGAGCATTTGCCAACTGTAGCAGTTCACCAACAGCAATGGCTACTGCCCAGCAGGTCCCATGGGAGCTAATCCTATTCCCAGGGTTTGAGGTGGGGATATGGCAGCCCAGAAGACCCTCCGAAGAACAGGCAATGCCAAATAAGTGCAGTAGTCTGAGGCCAGAGGTGCTCATTGAACACTGCACTCCCCAGCCAAGCCCTTCTGGAGACTGGGACATGCAGGGAGAAGTTAGGAGTCCCCCCATCATACCAGTGCAGCAAGTTCCCAGCTCCAGGACTTTAACCACCAGCCCACCCTCCCCATCACCATGCCTTGTCTATGTCACCAGAAACATTCTCTCTGCTATCAGAGATGGATGCAGTCCCAAGGTCTGGCCTCGACTTTGGGTTCCAGTGTTCCAGGGAGCCAGGAAGGGCTGAGTACCATGGAGTCAATGCCATGAAGCCTCTAGCTGCAGCTGGGCAAACCAACCCTACTAAGATGGCCGTACATGTGCCCTCTTGCCTTCAATCCCAGCAGAGCAAGATCAGCTAGAGCATCAAGGCCCTAGCCAGAGCTCCAGTGACCTCCTAGGGGAATGGGGTAACCCATAACCCATGTTCCCCTCAGCAAGAAAGAAGGAAAGCTGTGGGCCAAGGGACCACCACCATTCCTGCAAGAGGATGGACACATTCATTGCATCCCACATAGTCATCCACATGATCCTGCCTAAAGGTCTTGCTTTTGCTCTTGCTGCTTGGCTGGCCAGGAAAAGCAACCAAATTTACCTTGAGCAGCTCCTTGGGAAAGTCAGTGCCTCCATTGAGCCCCTCCAGGTTGCCAATGAAGTCAGAGCAGGACATTCTCTTTCCAATGTTCTGGAGGAGCCAGGGGGAGAGAAACAACGGAAGGTTACCTTCATGCCAGGGGGCTGGTGTTGGCTGGAACAGATCTCACAGCCCAGGAACAGACCACCTGCCTCTGCAGTGGGGTGAGGAAGCAGCCAGGTCTCAGGGAGGCTGCTTGAACGTGGGGGGAAGTTGCTCGCTTTGCCTAGACTCTGGGAGTCTTAGCCTCCTTTTCATAAGTTGGCTGCTACCTGCTCCCACGGCAGCTAGTTTTGGAGTCTCACTCCCACCCTCTGTTCCTGTCCACTTTCCACTTCTGTCCTCATCCGACCTTCACAGCTTCCAGCTCAGCACATCTCCAAAACCCCACTCTCTCTTTTGCTGGCTCCCTCTCACTCAGCCTTTCTCCTCTTTCTTCCCCAGACACATTAGGGGTGACCGGCCCTGGCAGGCCCAGGGTCCTGTACCTGCAGTGGGGACAGACAGTGCAGGGACAGACAGGGTCAATGGCAGTGGCAACTTACATGTCCATGCAGATCTGTGTTTAGCAGCATCAGAGCACAGGTGAGGGTGTGGGCTCCATCTGCAGACAAGCACAGGACAGGAATTAGAGCACCTGGCTCAGCCTCACAGCTGGTGCTCCAACCCCTCAGCATCTCAGGCAGGGCATGGGGGCTCTGAGCCCTCAGGACAGCCCTGAGCATGCAGAGCACACAGCAGTCAGCGTGGTGCTGGCAGCACGCGGCGAGTAGGTAGGACACCACTGAATTAAAGCTGGTTCCAAACCTGAGCTTACAAACTTCCTTCCAAGCTTGCAGCTCCTTCAGCCAGGCAGTGATGCTGCAGCTAATCCTGCAGAGCTCTGAGCACAGCAAGGTGGGACTGGCACAGCCCCCTGCCAGCCCAGCAGCCCAAACCTCACCTGCCCCAGAGCCAGCCCAGAGCAGATCCAGCACATAAATGCACACAGGAGAGGGGTAAAGACATGAAACAGTACAAAGTGGGTGGTTGTGCTGCCCTGAGTGCTGGGCACCCGAGTTTTCTCACCTGGCTATTCCCTGAGCCGAGGGGTCTGAGACCTGGGGTCTATTTGGTGAGGAGAGCCTTCTCTTGCCTCTTGTGCTAATCTGCTCAAGGTCAGAATTAAGGATGGATTGAGCCCTAATTACGCATGATCCAGCTGAAGCAGGTTTTTTGTTGTTTTTTTAAAAAATAATCTAAAGCATCTGTCATTTGAGGGAAATGACATCGCCATAACAGAGGCTGTCTCCTAAGGCGTCAGTACAGGCTCTCAGCCTGCTCTCTGGTTTCAGTTTTAGCACCTTCCCCAAGTCGACAAACGACTTGCTTGAAACACACACAGTCATGCAGAGTTCCTTACCCTCTGAAGAGATGGCATTGGGATTACACTCATAATAGCGCTGGGAAAAATGAGCCAGCACTCGCTCTCGCTCCTGTGTCTCTCCCATCAAGGCCAGCTCCTTTAGAAAGGACCTGAAGAAGCAGGAACAGCATTGATCACATTTGAAGCCTACCAGCAGCTTCTCCAACCCTTCTTGCACAGGAATGGAGTCGTACTTTCTGGTCTGGAAATGCTGCTGTGCTGGATGAAGCCCTGGCATCACACATCCCTCCTAACCCACTTCAGGACCCTCCTCCAAGCCCACAGCATCACAAACTGCTGGCACATTGCAGAGGCCTACAGCCAGCCCTGGGCACTACACCCGGGAAGGAGGTGAGAGTGACACCAAGAGGCTTAAGGCCTGGAAAGCCAGTCCTAGGTTGTTAACCTGACTGTTACCAACTGTGCTGACTGGTGAGTTAAGACCACGAATGCTCTTTTGCAGTTGTGTGCTTGAGAGACCACTTTGGGACTCAACACCCATCATATAAGAGGTCAGGAGATCTCCAGGTGGGAGCTAGGGGCATCTGCTTGCTTCTGCAGATCCCTGTGCAGGTGCAGAGCTGTGGAGGGCACAGTCTTCCAGGACCCCACTTGGGTGGCCACCACACACCCACATGTACACACATTTAAATCTGACCTGAGAGCTTGGTCCAGGCTCATCCCCGTGAACACAAAGAACTTCAGATACTCTCCTGCCACCATCTTGCTGAACTCATTGCTGAAACACAAAAGGAGGGAGTGAGAGTGGGATCAACCAGACTGTGGGGACAGCAAAAGGCACATGGGGTGGCATGGATGCCAGAAGGGTGAGAGCTCCCTAGGACTCTGGAAAGCATGCAGGGGACAGAGACACTCCACACTCCCATAAAACTCAGAGGAATCACTTGCAGAACAAACAGGAATACTGGGCATGCAAAAGAAATTGGAGAAGCTAGGATTGGGCCCACAAGAGGTCAGCTAGCTGTCCCCTTGCCTGACCTTACTGAATAATCCAAGATGCAGTCATGGTAGGAAAGTACCAAAATCTGGGTGTCTCTAAGGTTTTAAGACCCTTAGAGGGAACACCTGGTACACCTATGCAGTCATGTGGAATGGGCTCTGGGGTCCTGACAGTCCTATTCCCTGCCAGCCTGGTGCCCTGCAAGGGCAGCAGCTGTGGATACACCACAGGTGCAGATGGATCCCTTGCAGAACAGGCCATTCCTTGCAAATACCCACACGTACTTCTTCCCTAAGTGACGGGCCACATCTGCTTTTTTAAAGCCATCCAGGTTGTAGAGCCTCTTGGCCAGGCGTTTCGCAGCCTCCAGGTCAGCCTTGTGCCCATTGGAGAGGGTGTCTGTGCTGCCCAGGGCCAGCTGCTCCACACTGTCCATCTCCGAGTCTGAGTCTGAAACCAGCTGGCTCAGGGGGTGGTCACTGCAATGGGAAGGGACAGTCCATGTTAGCCTGCCTACAGATTCTTTCATCATTCAGCTTCTCAGGAAATGCAGGGTCCTCACCCTGCTCTGGGGATCAGCTGCTCACTGCTGGAAGAGAAGTGGGGTGACAGGATAGCTCCAGTGACTGATGACGGGATCAAGGCACTCAAACTCACATCCAAACTAGATGTGGAGAGACAGGACAACTGCTCCAAAGTCCCACACCCTCAGCCTGTGAAGCTGCATGTGTGGGCTCAGGCTCTGCCAAGCTCAGCCTTAGCGGAGCCTTGGAGCAGAAACATGTGCATGTCACATGCTGTCCTGCAGATCCACACTCATTTTTTAACCTGGACAAACTCCTCATGCTGCTTTCGAGCGCCGTTTCTACCCAAGACAAGGTTACTATAATTCCTTCATTCACCCCTTCAAAGCACTTTACAGAAAGGCAAACTGAGGCAGAGAGGGTGATGAAGGAACACCCCCCCCCCCAGCCTCTCAGGCCTCTCAGTTCACAGCAGGGTGTACTGTCTTCTTCAGGCATTAGCTCTCAGCCCACCATGCCTTACATGGCCACGTTAGGAGACGCTCTTGGCTTAGTCCCCGCAGCAGTCTGACTCAGCGGCACAGAAGTTATCCCAACCTAAAAGTTGGTTGAATCTAATCAACAAAGAACGTTAAGCAACTCTGTCCCCGCCCAAATTTTCTGGCAGCCCTCATAATGTTCCAGTCTAAATTTATTTTTAAAAGTCTCTAATTGACTTTTAAGAGGCCTGCTCTCCTGAGCCAATTACCCAGGCCAATCTCCTTGAGGCTCCGCTTCTTCCATGAAGGACAAGCGCTGCTCCTCAGTGCTGCCCTTCCTTGGGAGCCCTGCACAGCACTGACAGGCTGGGTGGTGTTCCAACAATCAAGTCACTCTCATTCTGTTGAATATGGACCATCAGCCTGGATAGGCTGGATGTGCCCCACTCATGGCACCTGTCTGTCACCACTCAAAGCCCCATCCCAGCTTGGAGACCATGCAGCTTAAAGAGAGAAAACCAAGAGCCCAATCCTCAAGCAAATAGAGAAAAGAGCAAAGAGACGTGTCTGTGGCAGAGGTAACTGAGGTGATGCTAATTTTCTTGCCAATGAGATGTCTCAGAGTTGTTTTTTGCTTAGTGACATTTTTCTAAAATGACATTTCAGTTTAGCTTGAAGAAATACTGAGATAATATTTTTTACACCAGGTACATTTTCAACCTGAGAACTGGCCCACAGTAAAGGAGGAAAGATCAAATTTGGTTTTGTGCGAATATCCTCAGTATGCCTGAAATGAGTCATCTCTGAGCGGACCCAGCACTAGCTCATCCCTCTCCCTGCTGCCCACCTAGAATAGCCACAGTTGCCCCCCATGTCACTGGGAGCACAGGTTGCCCTGTCACCTTAGAGGTGTATTCTAGAGAGCCGAGGTCCTCAGCAGCAGAGAGGCACTTCTGGGGGTCCCTGAAAAGAAAGCATGTGATCCAGCTCAGGGCTTGCCCTGGAACAGAGGCTCTTCACTGACCCCTGACCACCCCAGTTCAGCACAAGGACTGTGTTGTGCTCCCAGCCCTGGGGAGATGCTGCAGAACATGTTCAGGGCCACTGCACTACAGACACTCCTTCTCCAGACACAGATACTTCTCCAGGACCCAAATGTTCCTTCTCAGGGCCAAATGCTCCTTTTCTGGAGCCAGATCCTCATCTCACCCCAATACTCCTGCTCTGGCCGACTGCTCAGAGCTCAGCAGGAGAGACTGCAGCACCTTCCCTGGCTGCAATGCAGCATGTCACTGCAGGAGCCTTGATGTTCTCTCCACCTTGTCACCACAAACTGGGCTCACTCGGTACAATGTTCTCTCCACGGCTGTCAGTAACCAGAAGCAAATCTTGCCTGGATGTGAAGCAGCAATAACGCGATGGCTCAGCAAAGTCTGCCCCAGGGGGCTGACCTCCAGCTCCCTGCTGTCTGCATGGTGTGAGCCCCCTTGCACGGTGTTTGCATGGTGGGACCCTTCCTACACCAACATCCTGCTCCCCAGGAGCAGTGAAGGAGAGATATCACTGGGGACAGTCTGGGCTGGATGGCCATTGGTTTTGGCTGGGATGCTTAGCTGAGCTCCTGGGTTAGCTAGGTCCTGCCTTACACACTTCCAGGTGAAGCACATGTTGTAGAAAACTCAAAACCTCCAACCACAATCCAACTGCCACTAGATCCTCACAGGGGGCTAGTTTACATCCTGCACCAGGAAGGTACTCAGCAAGGAGCCTGATCCAAGTCTGTGAGGGACACGTGCACGGGCCAGAGCAACACTGCCCTCGATTCCTGATGCCCTGCATGAATGGCTAGATGCCTGATGCCTCTGCCAAGTGAGCCCAGCCTGCCCAATATTGCTACTAAGAATGTACCAGACCGGATCTTTGGCTGAGCTAAATAAATGCAGCTCCCTCCATCGGTCTCAGTGGAACGACTTTGATTTATGACAGCCAAGATATAGGCTGGTTCATTCCTCGCAGAATTGAAGTTAGGGCTGGGAGGACACTTGAAGGTCAGCCAGGCCTCCAACCACAGGCGGGGCTGGTCCTGCTTTCTGGCAGCTCTGGAGTCCAACATGGTCCTCAAAATCACCCAGCGACAGCTGCACCCGCCAGCATTACCACTGCCAGATCCAGGTAGAAGCAGACCTTGGGCAGCTGTAACCCTCCTCAGCCCTGTTTTTCTGCAGACTTTCAGAGCCTCCCCTGCAGCACTAGCCCTCTCCGGAGACACCTGCCTTTTCTTCATTGCTGCATCCCACCAGCCCCTCTCATGGGGGGCACAGCCACTCCTGCAGAGGATAGGGGCTGACTCTGCAATCCCACCAAACAACTTCTGGAGCCAGGTGAGAGCCTTAAAATCCAGTTACTCACCTGCTGGATGGAGGGTTGTGTCTCCTTCAGAGACACAAATGCCATGGGGTCAGCACAGGAAAACCTGGTCTCAGACTCTTGGGCAAAGCCTAGCCTAGGGACTCTGGGTCAGACTCAGGGGCTGGAATTAATGCCTGACATGAGGGGCTGCATCCCACAGGGATGTGCCACTGTCTGTGCCTCTGTGGGCAGCCCTGCCAGCCCTGGAACCCTGCCTGCTGCCCTTATCCTCCATGCTGTGGAGCAGCAGCCTCAGCCTCCAGCATTGCCACACCACCCTGTGCCCCAGCTCTTGCTGTCCTTCATGGTTTGACATGGGAATGCTTGCAGGAAAATCCTCCCCAAGGCTTCTGCCCCATTTCTTGCCGTGCCGATGCTTGTGGGGAGACCTCTTCATCCTGCACCCCAACCTTGTCACCCTCCTGTGCTCCCACCCCATCCCATCCATCCTTTCCCCTATCTCCATCCTTTCCTCACTGCCCTCCTTCCTCTGCTCAGCCCTCTCCCCACATCCATCTGCATCACACCCCGAATTCCAGCCCACGGGGCCCGAACTGGGCACAACCCTCAGGACATCATCTCCCCAGTTTGCCCAGTGCCAGCTGGGAGCTCAGGCCAGCTGATAGACCTGCGCTGGCCTCGGAAAGGGGAGGGGACACGCGCTCACCGACTGCTGCAGTAACAAAAGGGACCTTATGAAGGAACGCAGCGGAGCTTTTGGCAGGGCCCGGCGCTGCGCCCCCGCCCGCCGCGCTCCGGCCGGGAGGAAGGTTGGACTC